AGTAATGCTTATGTTTGCTTGCGGCCAAGCAAATTCAATACCATTTGGAGATTATTCGCTGCGAAAGACCGAATGGGAGATGTGTATGTGTATATATGTAGGTATGTATGGATGGATGGATGGATGTATGTATGTATTGCAGGTATGTATTGTGTGTATATATGTTTGTATGTATATGGGCAATAATTAGGGAGACGGGTAGAGGTCGAATGGATGAACAATAGTAACGAGGTCAAAACAGCTAATAATCAAAGGTCGAGTACGGAGCTGGTAACCAAAATATTATATTGTAATGATGATAAAGTCGTTTTGACTCTAGGGATTATATAGGGAGAGGAAGAGAAAAAGATTTGAGTGAGTCCAAGCTGTGAGAAGGTTCAATTTCAATCAATAGCTCTTCCCTCTAATAAATATCAGACATTCCGATTTTGCCATGAACAAAGACGGTATTGCTCAGTTGGTGGTCATAGTTGTAGGCTCTCGTCTTATTAGATTTGCTGCAGGTGAGATAGCTAGCTAGGGACCTACTGCCTAGGTCGGTACCTAGTAGGAACATTTCAATTTCAATATTTGCTTGAAACAAAGAACCATGACTGATGACTTTCCATCAATATTTCAATCTCGGATTGTTTTTGACTGGCATTCGATGCGATGGAATAAAATGATGGGAAATGTCTTGTCGTATAATCATCCTCAATCCACGATTCATCCTACCCATGATTACCCAGGTTGACGTATAAGGTAAATGAAGATATACATTTCCCACATTATTAGTCTCATATCACAGTCGATGAATTTGTAATTTGATGTTGTCTGTTGTCTGTTGTCTGTTGTCTGTTGTCTGTTGTATTTAGTCAAGATCGATGTTGGATGCTAGATTTAGCTAGAGTCGCTGTCATTTGTAAGACTGGTTATTAGAGAATTAAAACATTATTGTTGATAATCTCTAGAGCATGAAGTTGATGCTTGAATTGGCCAAGACCACTACTAATAAGGGGTTTAAAAAACGTCATATTATGCCTTTAGAGAACACCTTGACACCTTGACACCCCGACACTTGTAACATCTTGAACATAAAACAAATACTACCTAGGTACTTACTACCCAGTATATACCAGTAACAGTATATATGAATTGGATTTTGGATTTTGAAACAACTAAATGAAGAACAATCCGATCCAACTTGAAGCTCAAAATAGTAAGCATTTTCAACAAGATGATAACTATTAGATGAGATATTTTCAATAAATCTAATATCTAGATAAATAAGCCTTCAATTAATTTACTTACCTACATCTCATCCTATGCCCCGCATTGAGAAAGACTGGAAGGCAAAAGCCATGAATACAAAAGGTTTCCAGCCTCCAGGTCTCGTCTTTCTTTCGAGAATGATTCCAGACTGTTCCTCTCTCCAAAAAGCCATCACCAAAGTTGTCAATGTTAGCATTTCATCACAATTCATCACAATCGTATGATGATTGAATGAATGAATGAATGAATGTGTGTGTTTGTTTCAATGAGTAGGTACCACCACCACTTTTACATGTGACAGACGGATGTGATCTGACGTATTCAAATTAAAGGCCATCGGCGTTTCCTTATAATAGGTATGATGGGGAACATTCTAAAGCCGGCATAGCATACTGCGATCAGTGGACAGACAGACCTGAGAAGCTCTAGCCCTCTGCCTGAAGAGTCAATGGATGGAAACTCTGGAAGAGAAGGTTCGAGGAGTAGAATTAGAAAATGGATGGAAGCCCAGAATATTTTAAACTTTTAAATTGCTGAACCACTTTTACGGAACTGGAGCTCTCCTCCGTGTAAGTAAGTGAGTGAGTGAGTGAGTACGCAGGTAACCAAAGTACTAGGGCAAGCAAGTAATCGAGTAAGCAAGCAAGCAAGCAAGCAAGCAAGCAACAAAGCACCTTCATGCATATGCACATGCAACCAGCCATAGCTTATCATAGACACCTAACAATAGCCTACCAAGTCTACTGCTTGCTGCTTGCTTGATCATTACAATTCCTGCTTATACCCAAAAAGAACAAATACCAATACAAGTAAGATCTCAGCAACAATACCAATATATCAAATACCTGGGTACTAATTTAAAAATTACAACTTACAACTTACTACCAACAACCTTTTCCTTCCATCTACTAATCTCTTCTCTAATCTTCTCTCCAACCTCCTCCAATTTTCAAGATTACTTTATCTATCCAGCACCTCCTTGTCAAAAATCAAAAGATACATTATACGAAAACCTTGTATTGGCGTCGGGTATCACTGTATCTATCTTATTATTGCCCATTTATTATTCTTACAAAGGCCATTGGGGTGGAAAGAATATAAAAATCCATCTTCTTTCATCGATTCACTCTCAAATAAGACCACCAGACTCATATTTTAAAATTAGATTAAATCTCTGGTTATCTGCCTGTCTATCTTCCTTATCGCCACAATTTCGACCGAGTCTCTTTAATGCCTATCTAGTAATTTTCCTACCTACCTGTGCAGAGAGCCTAATAACTATCTGTAACCGCACTGAACCTGAATCAACCATCAACCTGATGAGCCTGAACCTGGCCGTCTGAACCTGAATCTGAACCTGAACCTGGACCTGAACCGTTCCTCTTCCTCTTCCTCGTCTTCTTCTTCCTCTTCCTCTTGCGCCGATCCAAGATAATTTCCGAAAACAACCCCAACCTCTATTATACATTCTACTTTCAACATTCTACATTTTACATCCTAATTCTACTCCTCGTCCTTTCAAGGCTGATTTCACTATTCCATCTTCAGCTTTTCCTCTCGGCAAAACAAAATTATCTTCTTTGATTTATCATTCTCATTAACTGACTTGGCTTTCTCCTTCATCTCTCTCGGTCTATTGAATACTCTCTCTTTGCACCATCAACATGGGAAGTTTTGTTTTTAAGTGGTAAGTTTTTCTTTTTTTTACCTTCGCTCACTTGTCTGGCCCTCGTCGCTCCCATTGTCCAATGATGATTTCGAAACTTTAAGACCCTGAGATAACTCCTCTCTTGCATTCCGATCTCCATCATCTGCGAACATGGGAAACTTATGCGCAAGATGGTCTTTTACAATGGCACAAACCATTCTTGACTTTTGACTTCTCCTATCAATTTGATCTTTTCCAACAGCTAACATTATGGTTTTTAGGGAACATCCTGCTGAAGAGGTCTTTGTTACTGGAACATTCGATAACTGGTCCAAGAGCGAAAAGTTGGTAAAGACTGGAGACGTCTTCCAGAAGGACGTCCAACTAGCAAACGCTGGGGAAAAGATTTATTACAAGGTGAGCTAAATTTGAAGGGACATGATGTTGGACTCGATGTTAGAAATTGTTTATGGGTAACGGAAATCATGGTAGTATTGATTTGCGATCAAGTTTTCATTGAAGGAATCGAGGTCGTCAGTCAAATGCGCCTAGTGATTCAAATTCCACTTCTCGAAGCATGCGTCAAAGTGAGACTTGCAGCTTAGCAGAAGCTGCAGAACCTCCACTTATGACGCATGCAGCAGTTACTTTTGCCCACTCTCCAGAAAAAAAAAAACCTTTCTTGGAGAGGTCAGGCTTCGAAAGTTGGCAATTTCAAACTCACTTTCCTAATAATAAACAGGCTTCTTGCTTGCATGATTAATTTAGTCGCACACACGCAGCCTCTTGGTCCCGCCTATTCCCCAACCCCGCTTGTTTGTTTGCTTCAGCTCTGTTCAGCTGCCGACCTCCTTTAGAAAGATAGCCTGACCCATTTTCAATTTTTTCTGCCTTTCTTCCTCGGACCTGCAAAAAAATATTCCCAAGTCTTCAGAAGCTAATTGAATCACTGAACAGTTCGTTGTCGACGGTAACTGGGTTACAGATCACACTGCCCCTCAAGAAAACGACGCTTCGGGAAACTTAAACAACGTCCTCACGACGGATAGAATTGTGAAGCATACACCTGCGACTGCTGGAATCATGTCTGGCGTGGCACCAACGTCGACTACGTCAGAATTGGCCAAGAACGTTCCTCTTGAAAAGGAGAAATCTCCACTTGAACAAAATGGCACCTCGGCTCTGCCTGGAGCCTTCCCCGAAACTCCTGCTGCTGTGGAAACCGGTGATTTCTCTGTAAACCCTCTCCCCGCTGCTGATGGTGCAGTCAACCCTATCAAGCTCGCACCAGGAGAGAAAGTTCCAGATTCAAGCTCTTTCACCACCAACACTGTCACTTCCGGTGTATATGATGATCCTGAGCTTGTCGCTGCGGACAAGGCCAAATCCGAGCCCGAGCCTACATTTGGTGTCTCACCGCTTCCCGCTTTCGCCGGTGCGGTTAATCCTATAAAACTTGCGCCTGGGGAGAAGATCCCTGAATCAAGTGACTTGACTGCCAACACCGTCCATTCAGCTGTTCGTACTGACAAGGAATCGTATGAAAACAGTGGCGCATTTGGCAATGCTCCTATTCTCCCCCCCGTCGTTACTCCTCAAGCTGAGCGTGAAGCGCATGGTACTGGGATTCTCGATTTGCCTCCTGCGGCCAAGAACTTGATTCCCGAGTCAAGCCTGCCAGTTGGAGAAGGCGGCATAGGAACATTTGATGCAACAAACCCACACATCCAGTCCGTGGATCCTCAAAGCACAACAGCAATGCTTGCCGCCAAAGTTCCCCTCGAATCGGCAAAGGTGCCAGAGGTGGTTAAGGAGAGCCAGAAAAAGGCAGGAGCTGCTCCAGAAGCTAGTGCCATTCCATCCGAAGTTTCGGAAAAGAGCGCAGTTGAGAAGGAACTTAAGAAGGAGATTGATGTTGCCCCGACAACTTCTGAGGGCGTTGCTGGACAGGGCACAACTAAAACCGAAGCGGGTGTCACTGCAGCCGAGGCTGCCGCTGCTGTTGGAGCAGCTGCTATGGCTGTGGGAGGTGCTGCATATGCTGCAGCCTCTACTATCCCAGGCAGGCTTCCAGAGAGCGTTACGAGCATCCCAAGTAAGCTGCCGGAGAGTTTAACAAGCAAACTGCCAGAATCTGTTCAGCAATCGATTAACTCGATAAATGCCACCGGGACCGTTGACCAAACAACCGCCGAGGACACTCCAGAAATCGTCAAAAAATCCATTGTTGAGTCAGGTCAAAGCCCGGAGGCCGCTACTAATGAAGCAGCTGTTCTCGATAAGAAGGCTGTTGAGGAGGAATTACTGTCCGAAGTCAAGCCAGAGACATCTACTGCCAAAGACACCCCCGCGGTTGTTAAGGAGTCAATTGCGGAGTCAGGTCAGAGCCCAGAGGCTGCTGCCAATGAAGAAGCTGTCCTTGATAAGAAGGCTGTTGAGAAGGAATTGCTGTCTGAAATCAAACCGGAGACCTCAACTGGTGAACCTGCACCAAAAATTACCTCTCCCACAGACGTTAAGCCTTCTAAATCTGAAGCTCCTATCGGCCCAGTTGTCACTAGCGGAGTTGCCTCTGCGGATATTCCAACCACCTCGACTGCTGCTGCGCCTGCCGTTACCAGTGGAGTAGAATCAACTAATGTTCCAACTATCTCTGGTCCAACACCAACCGAAACGAAACCAATCGATTCCAGAGATGTTTCACCACACACCAACCTCGCCAGTGGTGAGCAGGATGCACCCGTTGTTACCAGTGGATTGGGCTCTACCACAACTGCCGAAAAATCAAATGCTGCTCCAGCCACCCCGGCGAAGGAGAATGCTACACCGTCCACAGCAAAATCCTCCGTTGAGTCCGCCACTCCATCAAGCACACATGCCGTAGACAGCCCTGCCAATTCCGCAGCGGCCGATAAAAAGAAGAAGCGCACCAGCTTTTTCGGAAAGTTGAAGGCGAAATTCCACAAGGATTAGGGGAACGATAATGGTGGCTAAATGAAATGGGTATTGTCGGACAGACGCAGCATCTGTATCCTTGGGAGGCACACTTTTTTTTCCTGAACTGTACGATATTACCAGCTCCTTGTTTGTCTTGTCCCAGGAACATGTAATGTGGAGGAAGGGGTTGAAAGGGGGATAAGCGTAAATGAGGGGAGAGTCTGAATTGTGCTTTTTGATACCGGCTGAGTTACCCCTGCCCGCCCTTGCTGCATTGAATTTTCTAGTTCTCGTTTTACAAAGTTACAACAAATGGTTCTCTTGACTTCGCCGACATTCTGGTGTTAGGTGGTATTTAGTCTAGTTAGTGATTGATTGATTGATTGATTGATTGATGATGGGTTTAGTCATTTCATGAAAGATAAATTGAGAGTGGAGGGAAGCAAACAAGCGTACCACTTTGGAAAATTGTTAATAAAGGCTTATTCCCATCTAATGAAAAAAAAAATTGCATTTTCAATATTTTGACGTTATATATTCAAGCTTCGGATGTGCGACTTTGATTATTTGAAATGGTGCGTATTTGCTGTAGTGGTAGTTTGGAAATGTCTTGTGGAACGCGGTGTGTGGGTGCTTGGATATATGTTTGGGTCTGATGCTAAGCTTTTCATTAAATCAAATGAAATGGTAGCCATACTAATAGAATATGCTTTCTTTGAATTCAACCCCCTTTCCGAGAGAGTATCATCTTTTAAACTTTCAGAGAATGTATTTTAATTTGAAGTTTGAGAGATGAAATTATTGAGCATGTTCCACGATAGCATTGAGATGTTCTATGATCTCCTATTCAATGCGTCAATACCAAACATCATGTCTTTAGCTCTTTGGTTCTTCTCAAATTTATGGGCATGATTGATCCTGTATAGAAGGGATCGTATGAGCCAGCGCGGCAGTGATATCGATATTGCATTTTCTTGTACTTGTATCATATCCAGGGATATGTTGTGTGCTAGTCTACGAGAGTAGCATGAAATACCAAATCATTCCCTCCTAGTGACGTGAGACGACAGTGCAAGGACGCGTCCCGGAAGACGACTCTCTCGGAGTTGTTAGAATTCATGTAGTGTATGGAGACCCTTCCAGCATGGCATGAGAGGACATGTGCATCGGGCTCGGGTTTGTAAAGTCGGAATCGGGGTCTATTGACACGTACATATGCATGATGTGCAGTGGATGAAAAGAACGAGATGGCGCTTGGGGATATGTGGTGATATGTGGTGATACTGGAGATGGATGGGTTTGTGGTTTTGTGTAAGACGAGTACTTGCATGTGGGTGGTTAATACTTTGAGGGGGGAAACAGACTATTTTTCAATCGGCTAAGTTGCTCTTGAGTTTCAATTACTATAGAAACAAAAGACTGCATTTATTGCGTAATTTGTCCCCTTCCAAGGTCCATTTTTGTCTTCAAAGTTATTGTAGCTATTTTGGATATGATGTGTAGAATTATCTAGATCCAAGTGCTTGAATGCTGTGAAACACAGTACAGTACAGTACAGTACAGTACAGTACAGTACAACCTCAGTGCAATAGTGCACAAGGCGCAACTTTCCTTCCTTCATTCTCCTTTCCTTGCTCACGCTCGCTCTCACATCCCCATGGGTATCATGAATATCTATTGTGCGTATGTAGTGAGTTCTGTCCCATCAAGCGAGCCTCTTACCCCCTGGGAATAACACCAAACTCTGGCTATGATATGTCACCATACGCATTTTGTTCATTAACATCAATCGTGTGCGAAAAGAATTAGGGAATCTAAGGAGCTCATAAGGGAATATAGAAGCGGGAACAGGTGAGAAAAATAATAAAACATACAGGTACTTATACAAATGAGAAATGATGTTGTACAGCTCGAGTAAAGTAAGGAAATAGATACCCCGAAATGAAGATGAAGAATCCATGTATAAAATGAAACAAACATTAAGAAATTAAAAGAAATCCGTCATCGTTACATGAGGCATGTCATTTGCTAATTTCCTTTACTCCCTGTCGAGAAGTGAAGAAGCATTAAAGGACAATGCACAAGGCCATAAAAATAAGGATAAAGGAAATGACCAAAAGAAATTGATGAACACCGAGTAGCGAGATAATATAGAAAAATCAGAACCACTTCCCTCTTCCGCTCTCTCTAAGGCGCTTTAGAACACAAATAGAATCAACGAGAGTCATGCATTGGCCTCCAACACTATCGACCTCTAGCCGCGTGCGCACCGCATCAATAATAAAGGAAGTCTCTGCGCGCACGATCGACCTGCTAGTCAAGAGATCCTTGATATCTAGCTCTAGCATACAGTTGAGATATGTAAGAGCTTTGAGTTGTACGTTCTCCCGAGCCGCCTCGGGATAAGTGTGCGAGTCTAGAGCTGTGTATGGGTCTGTAACGTTTCGGAAGGAGGGACCTCTAACTCCGCTGACACGGTGGCCAAATGCCCAGCAGATCAACGCGGCAACGTTCAAAGACCAATAATGAGAGAGATCGAGAGAATGTTGCATTGTGTTGTTTTCGGAAAATGGATAGCATGGCGCAGAAAACTCGGATAGTAGAACACGGCAAGCATAATGTGCAGCGGTGGCTGCTGCTAGAGACGATGACCAAATTTTGAGTCGGGATTGTGCTTCGCGGAAATGGTTTGGATGTGTGATTTTTTGATTAAAAACCCATGTGTCCCCGCTAACAGCTAAAAGGTCGCGGAGCGGGGTATGGTACAACGCGACGTAGGTATATACCATTGGAAGTGCTAAAGGTAATGTTACAAGTTCGAGTATCGTGGGATTCGTCTTGTGTATTTCAAAGTCGTTTAGATAGTGATAGTCAGAGCCAACACGGCTGGAGAGTTGGGATGTCAAGGAGCATAAGATAAGTGACCGAGCGAAATGCGAAAGCTCAAAATAGTGCTCTTTAGTGAACTGGTGTTGGAGGAGATGAAGTGATTGACCTGCATTGTCCCCTGTCTCGTTCATAGCCCAGTCAGCTGCGTTGGTTGATTCCCACAGGACTTCCGAGCAGGGTGCATATAGCACAATATGATTTACACATGATTTGGCTCGTTTTTGCTGGTGAAACATGGCTTGATGAATGTCGAAAATAAAACATAGACATAAAAGACGTTGTCGTGACTCAGTGTCGACCCAGAGCAACCAATCGCTTTGTATATCTCTAGATCTAGTGCGTGTGTTGAAGTGATCAGTCAAGCCGGCACAGGTACTGGTATTAGTATTAATAGTGTTAATTTCAGACTTTGGGTATGATCGGGCCAGAAGCTGCTAGAAATCAACAAATGTACCTATGGTAGTCATAAGAACAGCAACTTACTCGGCTGTATAACTCTTCGAACTGGAGAGATAGGCGAACTGTGGCTTTTTTACCACGGAATCGAGTGAATATCTCGGTAATTAATACTGCTTGCATTACTGGTATTGTCCAATCGAGGGCCAAAAGAATTGTTTTGGCACAATATACGTGGAATTCAACGCCATGATATCGTGCTTCAGGGTCGGGTCGGTACTGGGTGCCGATTGCAGCCATTGCGAAGGTGAGTAGTAGGTTTTGGTTCTTTATATACGTCCCACGGTGAATTAATGGGAATAGTTTATCGAAATTCTCCCAATATAGAGAAAGATAGATTTCAAGGTTAGAGATTGCGGATTGGGAGGGGGGGGAAATGATTGTTTTGATGTGCGTCAATGTTTCTAATTGCTGGGATCCCACCAACTCCTCCGATCCTCTATTAAGGACTGCCAATCGGGGGCTGGATAATCGCGAAGGGGACGCTGGAAGAAAAGTCTGAGCCAAGTTTTTATTACATGTTGAGGTGTGTGGATTACCCACTGATTCCATATAATAGCCCCCGAAACCAGGCACATCAAGCAATTGCCGAGATACCGGCGACATTCTAGGGGGCGTATAAGGTGTATCATAAGATTCCATCACTGTTTCGTAAGGTGGACTTCTAAGGTCCTGAGCTGTGGTGTTGGTCATACCTAAAGTACCGTATTATCAGTTTATGATTTGATGTAACTACACCCGCGAAGTGATCGCACATACCGTGGGACCATGGTGCGCTTGGCATTGGAATAGACCATTCGGGCGCTGTGACTAATGAACCGGATCGGCCTCTATGCGTCATTCTTCCCGTTCGTGAGCTCTCCGACTGAGTTGAATAGGTGCTATCGGAAGCCGACGAGCACCAGGGTGAATTGTCGTGTGTGTATGATAAGCCTGGCATATAAGGTTCTTCTGGGATGCGTAAAAGTGGTAGAGCATGAGGTGCACTATAATTCTGAAATGAGGAAGCATCTTCATTGTACAGTCCTTGGAAGCTGGAGCTCGTTGTACGATACGGACCTTGGTCCGAAAACTCCTGCATGGGCCTTACATTGAAAGTTGAAGTCATCTCACCATAAGTCCTGCCTAATGTCAGTCAAGAGATCTCTGTACATTCGTTTTTATGAGTAATCAAAAACACAGGTAAAGGTACTCCTCAATAGTAAAATGAAGAAGTGTATAGAAAAATCCTGGGAGATATGGCCTATGCTTACCTAGATGAGATCGGTCCAGGTGATGCCCCAGTATACACTTCCGCATCAGTCATTTGTGCCTGGCCAACAGTCCTTTTATGGGAGCTGCCAGATGAAAAATCAACAGCTTGGAAATTGCCCGTGATTGTGTTAAAATTTGCAGCTGCGGCAGGATTTTCCCCTCCCGCTGAAGTCCTCGGTGTCATAGAATTATTTGGAGACATCTGACTCAGGTTCATAGACATTGCGTGTGGTGTAGGTTCTAGTTTCATAGGGGCATTCTCTGATGCACTTGAGGAAGCCCTGCTTCTTGGGTCACTAGATTTATATGCTTTTTCACCTTGTGTCTCGCTTTGTTCTATTAGTCAGGGAACTGTAACTCAAGAAGAGTAAGACTTACTGTCGATTGAGATGACGAGCCAGTAGGTCAGGGCGGTGGAATGTCCTCTCGCAGTCCTCGAATGTACATGGAAAAGCAGGTTTACCATGACTCAGTTTGTGCCTTCTATAATTGGAAATCATCAATAATTAGTCCATATACTTCCTCTAGTGTCCCTTCTGTTCCCATATCTGCTCATGATGCATGAATGGCTGCTATTATCTCCATCATACCGCGCGTGGAGCATTTTTACTATACTCGTAATCTGGATGGGACCCGGTCCTTACCTGAGATGCTCTGCCCTGGTGAATGTCTGCGTTGTTGTTAGCTGATGAAGCTGTAATCAACTTGAACTCAAGAACAAACCTTCCTACAGTCGTCGCATGTATGCACCGGCATACCCTTCTTTGCTCTGCTGATACGTCCGGTCACAGGTGTGTATTTGACTGGCACAATATCTGCCATGGGCTCTATTGCTCCTCTGGAAGATGTTTGCAGAGGACTACTAGATATGCTTCCTTGGCTTGGCCCGCCGGGCTGGTAGGCCGAGAAATCCATAGCTTCACCAGCACTGCTGCTACGCCGCCGTGAGTTGGGACGCAACGTAGTGGGCAGGGAGGACGGCTTTGAAACTCGGTTTGATCTTCGATGGTTGTTAGATGGCTTTCCTTTGGTATCATCAAGCTGAGGAGAGGGACTTTGAGATGAAGGATCAATGGATGGTCGCGAAGCTTGTTGTTGTTGAGCGGCTTCCTTCCTTCTATAGGCTTGAGATTCAAGAGGATCCACATCTACGTCCATGATATCTTTGAGGCTCGACATGATGATTATCCTCAAATTGGAAACGAACAATGATGTATCCCTACAGCCCTGCACAGCCTTTCTGAAAAAGAAAGATAATGTCAGGGGCGGGAACTTCAGCACAAGAGCTAATACCGGCACTTGAAGTCTTTGGTGAGAAGAGCCTGGGATGGTGACGATGCTTCAGGGTGTAGGATATTTTTTGAAAAGTATATGTCATGTACTTCCAATGTCCCTAGACAAATGCGCAGTAGATGCATAAAGATAGAATTTATCGCGGGGCATTGCTGAACTCCGTGACTATGTTTGCAAAGAAGTATGGTTGGAGGAGGGGATGGGGGAGACAGACGAGGAGGAAAAGTGTGGAAGGCTGCCCGTTGTTCATCAACCATTGCATAACCCATGCATACTGCAGACCTTGTCTGAGGGCGCTTATAGAAATCATACCCCATGGCATCGGATCCCGCATCGAATTCAAAATGTCAGCTCTCTCTCGTGGCACCCCTGACGCTTTGCGCTTATGGGCTACGCACGAGTTCCATGCAAAGTAAGGTAGTTATTTATGAACAAGATGATGCGAAATGTAACATTCTGCTCACCACAGAAGCATGACTATTGCTGAATCGCGTTAGATTGTCCGGCTGTAGATGCAGGTCAAGTGAATGTATGTGGTGCCGCCGGCTGGGATAACACAGTAGGGTGAACAAGAATAAACAGAAATGACCGAATTAATATGTTTGGTCTGCTAGTCTGCAGCAAAATTGCAGATGGGAAGCAGCGATAATTCGCTGGAAGGGACTGCAACCTAGGACTAAAGAGAAATGGTACTGTCAGCACGGCTACACAACCAATGGATTGGAGACTTTTCATCCGATCCCCCTGGTCCGAGGTTTACTTTCCCCTGTTCTGACCTTGGCATGCCATTGCCATGCTCTTACTCCCAGCAAATGCGGCCCGTCATTTTACTGGAAAAGTTGATGGAAAAGGATAACGGTAATTTCAGCCCACTCTAAAATTGGAAAGCAACCAAAATTGCGCCTCTCCTTGAATATCTCAACTTGATACTGCATCTTCAGTAACTTCTACGGATTAAGAAATGGAGACACTTCCTCTGACAGGACCAAAAAGGTTCGCAATATTCAATTTTGTAAGGCTGCGCGGTCTGATGCCTAAGAGGCGGTGATACTCCCCTTAGTACATGATCGGCCACGTTCTTTTTATTTTTTTTTTTTCTTTATTTTTTTTTTGGCGTCGATTCATACTCTCTTGTACTGCGTTTTCCCGGTCTTTCATGCTTGCTCTGTGCAGATTGCAAAATGAAGTCTTTCCCTTTTGAGATATTCGGTCAGTTCATCGAGTTTGGTTCATCGGTTTTACCCAACACTCCGGGAGACAAGGGCATAGGAATCCAAAAGTGGACACCGCACGTACATAGTAATACCTAGTAAGGATTAACATGAGCATATCTGCACTTGATTCCCGAAAAGGATTCATTCTTCGGATTGTCGAAATACCACCACTAATAAAAGACGTTACATGTACCGTGAGTCTGTAATATGTTGTCGAATACCAGTCAATACATATACGTGCATGCCTATGGACTCGGATACATCTTCGAATACCTGCAATATCATCGTGTCATCAAAAATGAGCTAGCTACTCCTCCCTTTCCTCCGAAGGTGTAAATGTACAGTAGAATGATTGGGACCTCTTTGAGCTTTGAGATTGTATTTGAGATGTGTTTTCTATGTAGTCCGAGATTGATTAAATGATCTTCGGCATGGACAAGGAGTTTAGGGGAAAGGGTCTGGGGAGGGGGTTCTTGAGCTTGATTACTTTTTTGGGTCCATGTTACGACGGCGTAGACAGCAGAAAAACGCGAAAGCCGGAGTATGTTATATTCGCAGCATTCACAGTATTCACCGTATTGAGAACTTCGTTATGTAGAGTGCGGGTGATCAACTACGGGGTAGATGCTAAGAATGAAGTCAAGGAAGGATTGTGTCGGTTCATCTTGTGGTCTGTTACAGGACTCATCGAGGTTTTGTGCTACGACCTCAGCATGCCCAAAACTTAACTCTGTACAGTCAGTACTCCTTATCATAGCTCATTAACTTCAATGTTAGCTTGCAGATACCCGCGGCGGAAGGGCCAAGGGTCACCAGTTTGTCATGTAGGTGCCATACAATTGACATGCTATTATCCACTGTCACAACCTTAAAAAAGCCCCCGAAAGACTTGCCCCGGCTGCCATGGAAAGACTATTCACTCTCACTAACTCTTCAAGGGTGCATAATACACTGCAACCCTGTCTACCGTAGTCAGGTATCTCTGCTGTAATAGTCTTCTGCAGTAGAAGATTGTTTGTTTCGAATAGGTCTTATACGAGCCGAGAACTCTAAGCCTATCGATTGTGTGAAGAAGGTCATATCTAAAACAGTTAAGGCTACCTACTCATCGCCAACCAGAAATTTAGAATTGTGGGAGATTTTCCATCTCCATCTTTCGCGGGAGAACCTCAAGGGGTGAAACAAGATGACTTAGATGAGAGATGAGATGAACTTCCATAGGAGCCACTGATATTACCTCTTATCATGGTGATCTTTGCTCCGTTGTATACCTGCCAGGTATCTATGTAGCTCACGAGTGGTCGGGCACAATGATATCGAACAAACCACAGTCGGCGATCTATTGGGTGCTCCTTTTCTCTTTCCTTCGGGCAAAGCTTCTCGATAAATCCAACGTCAATTTAGAACATGATGGTGCGATATTTACGCTCAACGGCAATGTTTTACATCTCCCTTTCCATGGAACTCCCTGTGGAGATATCATTACAACTTTTTGATAATCTAACCGGCGCGACGGAAATTCTAGACGCCGTGGATATTCCAGAAGAAAGCACGTTTCCCATATCCCTGCTAGATGTCACATCCCCCCAAAAAAACAGCAGAAAAAGGTCTCCCGGGTACAAACACAACCCCACCTGATGGCGAAAAACCTAGACAATACGATGCTTTCTTATATGGCAATACTACTCCGTACATTTACTCGGACCCGAAGATGGTAATGGTGGATTGCACTGTACAGAGTCGAGAGAGTTGCGTTATGCCTCTAAAGGGATTGAGCGCAGAACTATCTACTCCGGATATTGAATACCGGAAGATATGATGCGGTACCTGGATTTGAATACATGCAGGCAAAGATAGGTATGCAACGTAGGGCGTGACCCCACACAACCTTTGAGCTGCGCCCCAAAGTAAATCGCGATATGTTCACACTCCATGTCATAGCCTCGTCTCAAAATAGCTTTCGTGGAGGTTTGAAAGAGGAAAGTAATAATGGTGAGAAGGGTAGTGGGAAACGTTCCATTCTTTGGTGCGCTGAGTAAGATCAATAGTGCGATAATACGGTGATACGGTAAAGAACGAGTAATGCAGTTAGAGAGTAGAACTGCAGATATTCCCTTTCTCCCGGCTAACCTTACTGCATGGTACCTGAAAATTCTAGTAAGATGAAATAGCTTGAACAACCAAAATAGAAACATAATAGAAGGCACTTCTGTAGGCAGTTCTGCAGGCAGAAGTTTATGTTGTCCTTGCATCTTGTCAACATATGCATGAGATCGATCTATCCGTGATGGTGATCAAAAACATGGCAATGCTGGTATAATCAGTATGAGTATGTGAGACTGTATGAATACCTATGCATAGATATGAATATGAGTGGGTATACGCACCCGTTGTCTTGAGAGTAGCATGGGATCTCATCCTTCTGTATCAAAGCTATTTCAAAACATGAAACTTGTGTAACGATGTTACCACCCTTTTTCCCCCAAAAGCTCACAACTTACATCACCACCTTGTTGTATCAGGCCAAGTCTGAAGCGTGCCCCCAATTCTACAATTTGAGAGCTGCTCGTTGCATACGATACGAGATGAGGGGACGATCAGTATCTAAATTAGACGATGAATTGTATATTTGGAATTGATTTGCTAATTTCTACCACTCAACACGCCTAAGTCGAAGGTGGAATACGCAGATTTGAGGTGAGATTCAATGTTATGTCAAGCAAGGAGTGTCTAATCGGAATTAAAAGTTGGCTGATCGAAGGAATAGAACATAAAACAACATATGGCCCTGATATTTCTAACTTTCAACAGGTAGATCTTACTCAGGCACTGTAGCCAAACTACCTGCATACATTTCCGTCGTTCGGATAAGTATACGCGGCGTATGCGATGTGTCGACTCTCTGCAGGTTAGATTATGACTTACTTGGAATAGCTTCAAGAGTACTCGAGTAGTGACAAAATGGTAATGTCACGTGCTTGATCCAGTAGATGTAAGTGTATAAGATTATTATCTCATCCTCAGACCCTTCTCCGATTACCTAAGCATAAAAACCATAAATCAATCAATAAAAGGTATATAGGGTACCATTATAGGATCTCTGAAGAATCTGAAACAATTTGGTTTTTGTTTTGATATAAAAAGTAATAATTCGATCTTTATTTAATTACTATATTGTTACGTCGGACTCCACAAGCCCATTACCACGTGATGGACCCTACATAATATGCACGAAAAATAAAGGTCCAACATATTCTTAGGTCCAGGACCTTCCGGGGTCCTGAAGGTCCATAGCATGAAGGTCTATATAATCTAGATGGATTTCCTTTGTATAGAGCTTCGTGCTCAAGATCAATCATTTAGTATACTCTACTATTAGTTACGAACTGCATATCATCATTGTCATTACTTAAGTCCCTGCTTGACGCCTAGTTATAAACCACCTCGAGAGCCTAGAGCACTTTCACGTGATCTAGACGGCAAACCTCGTAACAAACTTTCAGATACTTTAGAAGATTATTCTTCCTCAAGTTTTAATTAATTGAGTTACATTTAAATTGTAATTATATAATAATTAATAAAAATCTATACATTTACCATAATAATACTTAAAATATAATCGAACCAGAGAGTCTGAGGATGAGATAATAAGATTACCAAGTTCAAACGGCGGCTTTAATTTAATCATTAGACCATTTAAAATGTTAGCCCGTTGATAGCCATTCTGCCATTCTGCTGCCAATAATATTAGCTATGTTAGGTATTTTACTCTATAATATTAATTTACCCCACCATTCACCAGAACAGGAAGCTCGAAAGTGTTTCTTCGACTTTAACTCTGTCCATCCTCCTCCTCATGTTCACAATTAAACCACGAATCTCTACAAAGTCAATATCGACGCTTCTACAATCATCCAGCTTTACTTGTTCTATTAAGGATAGAGCTTCACCCAAGCCAGTATTCTATTTTTCCAATCTCTACAGTCCGTCAAGAATCCGTATCTCAACTTATCTTAACCCCGCAATCAAGTTACACCAAGCTCGAAAAGTGAAAATGGCACCTCAACTCGATGGCTACTTCAAGCAGGTAGATTCTTTGTCGGATCATTTTATCGAAAGACTTCGCAAAGCAGTTGCCATTCCATCTGTTTCCGCAGATGAAGAACGAAGGCCCGATGTTGTTCGCATGGGAGAGTTCTTAGCTGATGAGCTCACTGCACTTGGCGCCCAAGTCGAAAAGCGACCACTGGGGAAGCAACCTGGAATGGAGCATTTAGAACTTCCCCCCGTAGTAATCGCGCGATATGGGAATGACAAGAAGAAACGCACCATTCTCGTCTACGGTCATTACGATGTGCAACCTGCCGGAAAAGAAGACGGCTGGGCCACAGAACCATTCGAGCTTACTATTGATGATAAAGGAAGAATGTATGGCAGAGGCAGTACGGATGATAAGGGTCCGGTTCTTGGTTGGCTCAATGCAATTGAAGCCCATCAGAAAGCTGGTGTTGACTTCCCAGTCAATCTCTTGATGTGCTTCGAAGGAATGGAAGAATACGGTTCAGAAGGCTTGGATGATTTCATTAAAGAGGAGGCCGATAAATTTTTTGCAGACACCGATGCTGTGTGTATTTCCGATAACTACTGGCTGGGTACCGAGAAGCCATGCCTTACTTATGGTAAGCTGTTTTGCAATCACATTCTGTTTCGAGTATCTTTTTTTCTCCATCAGATGCTCTGAAAATCTTCGTTTATCTGGCCTAGTTTGGTACTGATTTACTATACACAGGTCTTCGCGGTTGCAGTTATTATTCCATTGAAATTTCAGGTCCCGGCCAAGATCTCCACAGTGGAGTCTTTGGAGGTACTGCTCAAGAGCCGATGACTGATTTGGTGAGAGTGCTTGGTAAACTAGTAGACACGAATGGCAAGATTCAGATACCAGGCTTGGCTGAACTTGTTGCCCCCCTCACAGATGAGGAGAAATCCCTTTACGGTGATATCGCATTCACAATGGACAACCTACATGAATCGTTAGGTAGCCAGACAACCATCCACAACGACAAGGAGAACACACTTATGGCCCGTTGGAGATACCCATCGCTCTCAGTCCACGGTATTGAGGGTGCATTCTCTCAGCCTGGTGCCAAGACAGTTATTCCAGCCAAAGTGACGGGAAAGTTCTCTATTCGAACTGTTCCAAATATGGAACCCGAGGATGTGGATCGCCTCGTTTTCAAGTATGTCGACGAAGAATTTAAAAAACTAGGCAGCAAGAATACTATGCGATGCTTCTTACAACATGCTGGTAAGTGGTGGGTCGCCAGTCCAAAGCACTGGAACTTTTCAAGCGCTGCAAAAGCTGTTGAGAGAGTCTGGGGTGTCAAGCCTGACTTGACTCGAGAGGGAGGGAGGTAAGTCACCCCCATCAGCTACATGGCTTGCGATGATGTTAATATTTCTTTCTAGTATTCCCGTCACCTTGACTTTTGAACAGGCCACTGGCAAGAATGTCCTCCTCCTACCCATGGGTAGCTCTACTGACGCAGCCCATTCAATAAACGAGAAGTTGGACAAGAGAAACTATATTGAGGGTATCAAGTTGTTGGGCGCATATTTGCATTATGTGGCCGAGGAACCGATGGTAGAGCAATAAGTAGCAATACCGTAGCCAACTCCTCTGCAACAGCTATTTGTGTTACACAGAGTGTTTAGTATGAAACGATAGTTTTCTATGCATGTTATCTCTACGCTGTTGTGAACAGAATGAATTTTATTTGTTTGCGTGCATCACCACCATCATCGTGCTTTTATCACATCATTCTATTCTTTATTGCCTCTTCATGCTTATCATCATTTCTTCGTCAGCAATCACAAGCCGTGCTCGCCATGCCACCTCATGCTGCCTGTTTCGCTCAATCGATTCTTTTGAAAAAATAAACATACGCGAATTTCTTCATCTCTTCGACATCGTTCGCCTTTACCACTTTCTCGTCGTTGTACAGTACCCACGATGTTGCTTTATCTTCGGGGATCTTTTTGCGAATAAATGCAACGTAGTGCCTATATACTCATCAGCCATGTTTTTATTTATCAGTAATTGAAACAACCTACCCTGCATGTATGCTAGATCCTTTATGGCATATGATAGATTGAAGCTGGAATGCAGCAGGCAACGCAGCACTTCCTGGAGGAACGTCTCTCGTGACATTGCTGTTGACGACAGCCGTCTCGTCCTCGAACTCGCCTTGATCGTCTGGATGGCTGAAGAGCCATTCTACAGCCCGTTCCATATCACCATTGGTTTCTCTCAATGCCTTTCGTGCTTGTGGAGGCCCAAAGCCCATGGCGCCTAAGGTTCCGATTTTCTCAGGGTCGATTGTAGTAGTTGTAGCCTCGCCGGAGCTCAAATTTAATGGAGTATCAATGTCTGCATCATCCATGTGTGCGAAGAGCCACTCCATTGCGGTGTTGGCGTCACTGTTTCCAGTAGCATGCAGAGCTTTCTCGCAACGGTTCATTGGGAATCCCATGGCCTGGAGCTGCTGTAAAGCTTCGGCATTCGCGGAGAATGAAGGTTGACTTGTCTCATCGGCGTCAGGAAGAAGCGATTCTGAAAGTTGCAAACCATGTGACTGATAATCATCTAGGAGGAACTTATCGTCTCCAATGACGACCGGAACGTTGACCTTTGTAGGCACCCAGTTGATGAGAACAAATCTTCTAGCATTCACAGCGAGAACTTCTGGGAATGTTTGGAAGAGCGATCGCTTGGAGAATCCATCCTTACTACCACATGCCGGACAGGTAAGTTCCACGATCTCTTCAGAGGTAAAACTGTCCAGACATTCCTTCAAGGTAACAGCTTCATATTCGTCCACCGGCTCGCCGTCTGTGCTAGCGGCTACTTTTACTTTTCTGAGTGGCACGGGGATAGATATGTTATCTTGCTCGTCCGTGCGATATCGCACCTTTTTACAGCCTAAGCATTGCAAGCGCTGCTCCATGACGAAGCGAAAGGCTCGTGTGGGATCCTCAAGCGGAGCTGTGTGCTGAGAACGTGTGACCAGTTTGAAGACATGGAGGAGAAATTCAAAAGCATCCTGCTGACGCATGGTTGAGAATTCGGAATGACCTCTGCCAATTAAATATTTCAACATTGAAGGTGCCAACCCCTTCTGATCTGCAACACCGCTTGATTTTGATTGATTGGTAGCGGGATCTGGAAATGAATATCTGCCAGATATTAGACCGTCTGCCAACTTGCGCAACTGCGTCTCCAAGTCTTGAGCCGGATCTTCGACGATAGGTAGATCTGTATTCGGTGAAAAGTAACGCTTTTGGAATTGAGGTAAATCGAAAAGGCACTGGAGAGCGCTTGCCAGGTAGCAGCTATTGCCTAAATTTTTCAACCCTGTAAATCCTCCCCCAAAAAACTTCGTCAATTCGTGCCCTTGTTCGTCAGTCATGGAAAACTCCCAGCGTAAGTTTTCATCGACCTGCATCTCCATCAAACTTTTTTCAGTCTTCTCACGTTCGGCGAGTATAATTCCCCAATGAGCAAGATGTTTGCCAAGATCTTCATCAATTCGTTCCTCATCGCATGCATAGCAGTACACATCTGCCCTACCATCGGAAGTAATTGATCCCAGTTTAACCGCGACAGCATGACTAGTTTGATTCTTATGCTCCAGGCCATGAGAATGGCCCTTAAGTCCACCAAATTGCGCTCGTCCGCATCCCAGATTACCGCATTGCAGGCAGAGCCACAGGTTCTCTTTCAGATCGCAAAGAGAACAGTGGCCTAAATCTTGAGACTGTATTTGGCGTGCGCTTTCTTGTTGCAAGGTAAGAATATGTTCGCAAGATGTAAACTCTTGCTCCCAGGCCTTTACTTCTTCCTGTCTTGAAAATGTATTTGCTTTCATTACACCATCCACCACCGCAGATAGTCTACCGGAGGATTTATCGATATCGTCAACCGCGCATTCATAACAGCGAACCTTTGTATGATAATCGTATCGATCGGCTTCGGTTTCTGCAGCGATGGCTAATTTGGACATCTTATGAGGCGGTTCATCTCGAACCACATGGCGTCTTGTTCTTCGAATATTGAGAACCAGAGGATGGTTTTTTATCATCTTATGGAGTTTGGAGTGATTCCTATCACCGGTACAGCCGCCGTTGAAGCAGAACAGGCAAACATCCAAGCCAGTGGAATCATCCTAAACAGAAAAGAAGTCAGAGCTCCTGTTCGCTGGGAAGTATTGCGAGATGAAAGGAAGTTGATTTTCGCACATAATACTTACTATGGAGTCAAAGCATTGAGTGCAATCCTCGCGGTAGACAGCTTGGCTGGGTCCTGGCGGATGCAGCTCTGAAGAACAGGATATGTCAGTTTATAATAGTAGATGGTGTGGTAGTATGTTGAGTTCGTCCCCGTTGAGGAGAAACTTACCAGCTGCGTCGACATGCTTACAAGACATTTTTCTATCAGAATGCAGTTATTTAAATGTCTATGTGAGTAATAACTAGGTAGGTAGGTACCTACTCGAGTGGTAGGTAGTTATGTCTGAGGGATAGAGGTTGATGTTGATATGGATAAGCTAGGAAGCTGGTAAATACTAGTAGGGACTAGCTATTAGGTGAATACCTAGTAGTACCTACCTAGATAGAGTTCAAAATAGGAAAGCGGGAATGCGGGAATGCGGGATGTTCCGATAGCTTGGTGGGGTAAGTGAAGTGGAAGGACCTAGTAATAGCACTTGGAGACTAAGATAAGTTCAACGCGTAAGTAAGCTTTCGTGCTTCCAAACAATTTGAGGGGTTAGAAGAATCGCGATGTCACGAGGTTGTGGATGGTGCGGGCTTAATTGTGTTCCACAGTAATGTGCAGCACAAAGGTACATCCTACAGCCTCTTATTGAGAACAGTTTCGCCACCAGTAATTACCTAGGTACCTAGCTTAGGTACTTGCTAGGCATATTCCAGACAAATTATTTGGTCCGGTTTTCGCATCAAGATTACGAATGTGATTGGGTAATCGATGTCATTTATCTTTTATCTCCGTATCGATCGGTCTTTTCGATTATTGTACTTTATTGATTGGTTCGATCTCACCCAACATCTGTTATTATGACATAGAAGCCGTCCTGATAGGCTTGATATGGGTAGATTGAAAGCAGAAGCTAACTTCATCAAGACATTCTTTAAACTCCGAGCTCCGTGGATTCCGCTCATAGTTAGTCCATGCTTCTCCAACTTCCACTTATTTCTTCATTTCATGAATCAAAATTCCATTGATTTATTATCAGATCTACCCCAAATTTACACCACAAAACAAATCACAACCTACCAACGATACACAATAGTAAGACCATACAATCCAATCCATACCATCAAATCTCATCAAGTTCCTCATCTCACCTCCGTCCATATATCGTTTATATCATCAACTTCGATTATTACGACTTATCTTTCGTCAAACTTTCAATCGCCACTCACCACATACCACAAAAATGTTTCGTAGAGCTTTGTTAAATGCACCCCGCGTTGCCGGTAGAGCATTATCGGCAAACAATCACTCCGCCACCGGACCTCTATCTGCTCAACTTGCATCACCGTCTTTCATTGCTGGCCGTAGATCATATCATGAAAAAGTCCTCGATCATTATTCGCGGCCGCGAAATGTTGGCAGTATGTCGAAGACGGACACTGATGTAGGAACTGGGCTGGTCGGCGCACCAGCATGTGGCGATGTTATGAAGTTGCAAATTAGGGTGGATCCAAATACGAATACTATCTCCGATGTGAAATTTAAGACATTTGGTTGTGGTTCGGCCATCGCCTCTTCTTCATATTTGACGGAACTGGTTAGAGGAATGACACTTGAGGAGGCCGGTCGAGTGAGAAATACAGAAATTGCGAAGGAGCTATGCCTTCCGCCTGTGAAGCGTAAGTCTACTCAAAGAATATCTACCCAGTATTATATGCTAACACTCATCTAGTTCATTGCTCTATGCTTGCTGAAGATGCCATCAAATCTGCCATTTCGAATTATTACACCAAGAACCCCCAATCACAATCTACTAACCTCGGAGGCACTGGTGCATCCATGCCAAAGATTGATGCGGAGACAGTGATGGAAACCGCACAGTCTCAGACTGCAACTGTCTAAATTTTTGAGAATAAGCACATTTGGGATATGGAAGCGTTTCTTTTCCGCGTGTATTATGATTGGGAAGGTGCAGTTGTTTGATACGGTAAAAGCATGGATCGGTGATAGGATGTCCAGGATATTGGAGACGCTGAGGATAAGAAGGGCAGAGGGGACTGGTCTACATGACATTCGTTTGGGTCGTATGCCGAATGGGCATTTACTAAATCGTTTATGGGGAGTTTGTTTCTCTCCAATCTCACAGCATACCTAGGTACATCAACCAAGTTGAAATGAGCCACAAGATACCAAAGCTTACGTTCAGCGACTTCCGCTAATTTTTCAAAGTGATTGGGCTGGTTCCTGATCTGTATTGTGCCGTGCTCATCCTCTGTAGAGCATTAGACGACATTTGTATTATTATAGTAGCGCAACAAAAGTGTTCACAAAATCCACGAAGATCTTAGTAGATGTAGATTGCGTTTCGATATAAATACCAGGTAGGACGAAACTCATTACCCTACCACCACAAATGATAAATACAGAATCCTAGAAACACTCGATGGCGGAATGGGCTTAAGGAAGAAAGGATTGCACACTGGGATTGGGGGGGTATCGATGCACTTTCCTGTTCCACAAATGATAAAAGGCCTTGAGTGAAATCGAAATCGGGTATTAAAATAATTGAAACGGTGCAGAGAAATAGACTCATGTACCAATATTTTGGGAATTCTCGATGCCCTTACAGATCCCACGAAACTTTCATGAAATGAAATAATTACCCATGGTATTCCACGTCAAAGATACAATGTGCGGAGTACCAAGTGGGTCCAAAGGCGGTGTGGTCGCCTTTATCTTATCATTTAAGGAACTAGGTAGGTAAATATTTTTTTTTTTGTCGGAAGCGTCTGTTTGACTCTTGACTGTGTGAAGCAACCATAATCTCAATTCTTAATCATGCCGAAACGTACACTGGAAGATACAGAATTGAATCCTAGAGATAATTACATCAAGGTCTCCTCCAAGAAAAGTCGCAAAGAAAAGCGAGAAAAGAAATCTAAAGATGCCGAAGAGCCAGCCACAGACTCGACCCCGATTGATATTGAGGTAGAGTCAAAGGAAGCTCGTAGGGAGAGAAAGAGACTCAAGAAGGCGAAAAGAGCTCAAGAAGCAGAGGAGGAGCAATTGCCTGAAGGTAATGCCATTGAGTCGACGTCGGATGCCGATGCTGCTGCATGTATTAAAGCTGCTAAAAAGGCCGAAAAGGCGCGATTGAAGGCATTGAAGAAGGAAGGCAAGGAGGAGAAAGTCGACATTCCCGAATCTACTGATTCTGCAACTCCTATAAGTGTTGCTCCACAGCAAAATGGGACAACATATACAGAAGATTATAATCTGAGTGGCTTGCCACAGAGCGAAATAGACTCATTCCTGACCACAAACTTCATCACCATCACCGATCCATTATCTGCCTCCGCTGCTCTAAGACCTTTGATAAAGTTCGACTACTTACCAATCACCGACTCTGCCCAACGAGCTCCATTTAAGGACTTCAAAGCCCCAACTCCAATTCAAGCTGCGGCATGGCCGTTTTTGCTGGCTGGCCGCGATGTAATTGGTGTTGCGGAGACGGGTTCGGGCAAAACGATGGCATTCGCCGTGCCTTGTGTACGGTACATGTCATCTCTACCAAAAAATCAAAAGAACAAAGGTCCCAGGGCTGTTGTCGTATCGCCGACTCGAGAATTGGCAATGCAGAGTTATGAGCAGATCGTGAAACTTGCAAAGGCGTCTGGGCTTGAATGTGTCTGCGTATATGGAGGTGTTCCCAAGGACGAACAGATAAGAGCATTGAAAACTGCGGACATCGTCGTTGCCACTCCCGGTCGTCTCAACGATCTTATCAATCAAGGATGTGCAGACTTGAGCAAGGCTAGATATGTCGTTCTTGATGAAGCTGATCGTATGCTGGATAAAGGTTTTGAGGAAGAAATCAGGAAGATTATTAATACCACACCTTCTCTTGGAAAACGACAGACGCTCATGTTCACGGCCACTTGGCCCGAGTCTGTTCGCGAGTTGGCTTCCACCTTCATGACCAGCCCTGTTAAAATCGCCATTGGCGACAATCCTACGGGAGATCTTCGGGCCAACTCCCGCATCGTTCAGAAGGTTGAGGTTGTGGAACCAAGGGACAAGGAATACAGACTCATGCAACTGCTAAAGCAATATCAAAGCGGTAGTCAAAAGGATGACCGGATCCTGGTCTTTTGTTTGTACAAGAAGGAAGCGACAAGAGTGGAGGGTTTCATCAGACAGAAGGGGTTCCGAGTTGCTGGAATCCATGGTGATTTGAGTCAGGAACAAAGGACGAGAAGTTTGGAGGCTTTCAAAAGTGGTAATACTCCAGTTCTGGTGGCCACAGATGTCGCAGCTCGAGGTCTAGATATCCCTGCTGTCAAGCTAGTCATCAACTGCACGTTCCCTCTTACCGTGGAAGATTATGTGCACCGCATCGGTCGAACTGGTAGAGCTGGCAAAGATGGATTGGCGATTACATTATTCACTGAGCATGACAAGGCTCAGTCTGGCGCGTTAGTATAAATTCCAAATCTCGAATTGACTAGGCACTAACAAGTGGAATAGTTTGATCAACGTCCTCAAGGCAGCTAATCAACCAGTTCCTGACGAATTATTGAAATTTGGGACTACGGTTAAGAAGAAGGCTCACGACGCGTACGGTGCATTTTTCAAGAATGTTGACACCACCAAAAAAGCAACGAAAATAACATTTGATTAAGATGCAACAAGCTAGGATAATTGTTCGCTTGAAGAATATAGATTCAACCTTTAATTGTACGGTAACATTCGAGAAGATATTCCTTCTCACTCGTGGCTCTGTTAATGGCGTAACAGTTAGCAGTCTGTAGATCGGCACCGCAGCTGAGAACTTACAGGAGAATCACAAAAATCATTGCCACTAAGCCACATTTGATTATATCCACTAAACCGCCTGTGAATGATGTTCTCATCTGAGAAAGTGCGGCATACGTAACAACCCCAAGTGATATCGTGCTAGGCCGTGGTAACAAATCCATAACCTTGAACTCTGCACCATGGCTTCCGCAGTACGCCAGAATAAAATGACCACACCATGTGATTCGTAGGAGCATGTTAGCCATATTTGCCAGTACAAGGCCCTCGGCTCCGAGACCCAAAAGCCCTAAGAACAGATAGGCAGCACTGCCAAAGCCGGCAGAAAAGGCAGTCATCCATAAAGATTGCCTATAGACTTCAGCTTCAGTAGCAACAACGGCTACAAATGCTTCACACACTCCGTTCAACGCAAGTAGTGGTATATAGTAACAATACACTGCAAGGACATTGCCAGCTCCGGAGGATTGCCATCGTGGGCCAGCAATGAGGTTTAAGAGTAGAGGAGCGACGACGGGACCCACGGCAACTATGGCAACTGACAGGATAAGATATATTCTTAGTAGCCTTTGCAGATCTGCACTGGCTTTCTTGGTGGCTCCCTTGGTTGTCTTGCCATCGACGGCAGAAAGAAGCTTGCCAAAGTAGTTTCTGGACATTTCCTCGATTGGCTGTAAGACCAGACGGGCAACAAGACCTCCATAATTGCTGGCTAGTGCGTAAATGCCTTGGGATTTTTGAGTGGCCATGGACGCTATAAGAAATGTGTCGCCTTGCGTCAAGACATGTTTCACCATTGATTGTATCATCAAACTCCCTCCTAACGACAATAATGGTTTGGAGAAGTAAGAGTAGATATATTCATTCTTTTTGCTACCATGAGTTAGCATCATGAATTATACCATCATAGTTAAAGTACCTGGAGATAGGCTTGAGTCTCAACGAAAACCCTCCGCGCGATGCAATATGCCACACGGCCAAGAAATACGCCAGTAGTATTGAAATAGCATATACTCCCTGACCAATTGCAAACGGCACTACTCCCAACTCTTTTTGATGATGAGCGGCCCAAACTGCAACAGCACAGGTGACAATGCATCTTAATACAGTTGCAATCGACTCGGCAGTAGCCCGAATTTTGAACGCTGATTTCTGCTGAACCACAACGAAGCATGGCTCAGCCAACAATTCTAGAATCGCTGCCACGCCATAGAGTCTCAAAGATTGTCCAAAATATGGTGTTTCAACCACGCCAGTTTGTCTGGCATTAGCATAGATCCAGCCAAATATCATAGTAGATACCAGTCCAAGAACAATAGAAATATATGATAAATTCACAATTGCTTGACTTTTGCCAGCAGTCGTTCTGCTATCCAAATATATGTCCTTTCTAGAGAGATTCCTGTCTTGTTTAGCCTTGGAATCATCATCATTTACGTCCGTTTGACGCTGTATTGCGACACGTAAACTCTCCCTTGAGAAGAATAGTACGGTGATGGAGTAAACTTCAAGTTGCGTTGACACGGCAAGCAGCTCGGGTGAGAGATACCGGAGAAGTATCTGGTTGACTATAAACGTCAGCGCTCGAGACCCGGTTTGCAATGCGATTAAGAGGGAGGCTCCGCCGGCAGACGTTGAGAAAAGAGATTTGCCTGCTGGCTTCTCTTTGATGGGTTTCACGGACGTCATCGGTGGTCCTAGGAATATCCATAAGTTTTAAGTTGCAATTTATTTTGTAGTTGGTGACATCTCCACTTTGACTACTGATCACATGATGAGAAAGACCATAGCCTATTCCGGACTAGTCTACATAGATACACAGTTTTCTCTTTCTATGTAATCAATATATCTTTTAATATCTTTTTTTCTTTTTATAGAATTGTTGAGATACTGATCACATGAACCACTAGCGTTGACGATAGTGTCTCGGCAAGGGGGGTTATATATTTAATAGTTTTTTATTATTATAATTTTGATTTTTTAAATAATCAATAAGAACTACATATTAAAGCTTCACTTTCTTATACTCAGTTACAACCGATAAGAATATTATTATATTATCTAGATGTTACGAGGTTTGCCGTCTAGATCATGTGGAAGTGCTCTAGGCTCTCGAGGTGGTTTATAACTAGGCGTCAAGCAGGGACTTAAAGTAATGACAATAATGCAATTCGTAACTAATAGTAGAGTATACTAAATGATTAATCTTATAGATAATAGAATATAATAAAAAATGATAGAATATATAATATAAAGATTTATATAATTATAATAAATTTTCTTTATATAAAACTTTATATTTAATTGAGTGATTCTAGATGGGACAATATTAAGTTATGTGACCATAAGCTTAGTCATTGTCACGATTCATTAATTCATGTGACCTCGAGGACCTTTTGGACCTTAGGGTCCCAGAGGTCCTCAAAGATGATATAGGGTATATAAACATTCATTTAGTCTCGTAGTTAAGGAGCTTCGTGCTCAACTTAGTTATCAATTAGTTTACCTACATTCTACTTGATCTAGTAACGACTTCACTTCCAAGTGAATACCAGTGATAAAGCCTTAACCTACAACTACCAACCAGACGAAACCTTAGGCAGCCGCTGCCTTTAGTATCGTTACAGTCACCTGAGTAGCTGTTAGGATTGGTCGTAATAGCCCCCTGGTATTAAAAGATAATTTAATAAGTTTTAAAATTATTTTGAAAGATATTGTATTATATTAAAAAGATAATCTAATTGTCACACTCAAGAATACTGGGTAAAGTATCTTGTATTAGAAAATACTAAGCTAAGGAGAAAAGAAGAAAGAAAACAAGAGAAGAGAGTTTTCCCGTGATTAAATACAAACGGGGAATGCCACGTGACCCGGAGGTGTGAGGCATCACACTAATAAGTTTTAGAGATTTAGATTTTAATAGTTTTATTGATTTTATATTAATTTTTATATTAAAAAGAAATCTTAAAAATATATCAAAAAGACATTTATATAAGTCTAATATTCTCTTTCTAGATCACTTTTCATATAGATTATTTTTTTATATTAAAAATAACGATTATAATTTATTAATTATTCAATAATTAATAAATTAAACCAATTGATATTTTAATTACAAAATTGTTATAACATTAAAACAGATTTTGAAAATTTCAAATTGTTTGCGTTATCGGTTAATCGAGATTTCCAAGATTTTCAAATTTC